TTCTTCCAGAAAACTTCCATAATTTTACCCCAAAGGTCCTCAGCTTTTTGGTATAGTCTGTAACACCCTCGAGTTGACAACTTTAATATAGTGTACGATTGCAGCAGCCGGCCGAAACCCCATGCATAGTACAGTTATTACCCGGTTCTCAGCTGTGTTCTTCAGACACCTCACCCCCCACCCACTTCCCTGGTCTCTTGGATTTTTAGAGATAAATGTTAGCAGGTATGGTGTATTTATATCTACAAAATAAATATACACAGTTAATACAAATGTATTATAACTCTTTACCCATGCAGCACTACTTTAACTAAAACCCTAAAAAATGTTATATTATGAATAATTGTTTAAATATATGTTTAAAGGGTAAATATAGATTTTAAAAAAAAAATTATAAAACATATAAATGTCCAAATATTAAAACCCAGACTTCATTACATCAATACAATGACAATACATATACATTGTTAAATATTCAAGAACAAGCATTTACTGTATATAAAGCAAATATTGAAATTAAAATGATCAAACATAAACTTGGAATTAAGGTGGGGCCAAGTAGGAGCACTCACTGTGATCCCTCGGGCTCTGCAAGGTTTAGAGAAATTCCAAGTTGAACCCAAAGAAAAAAAAAAAAGATTACAATTGGCAAGGAAAATTCGGCAAATGTGTCAGCCGGCAAAACCTAGAAATTAAAAAAACTTGAAAAGATACTGCTTCAAAATCATTAAATAACCAAATAAATAATTCATAGATATTAAAAAAATTAGTTAACAGTGCTACCCACGGGATTTAAAATATACTTCCTTTTACCCACAGCACATAAATAGTTAAGTATATGCATCAAACTAAACATAATTTGAATTTTAACACCATTTTTATTATTACCTATTTTTAAATGTTTTCTTTTAAATGTGTTAAAGCAAAAAAAACAAAAAAAACAAGGCTTTTATATAAATAAAAGACATCCACTATTTCTCTTTATGCTTTTTCTCTTATAAACTATTAAAGTATGTATAAAATATGTATATTGACATCATCAAGTTAAAATAAACAAAAATAAAATAAACTGCAAATGAGAAGTAAATGACAGAAAAAAAGAATAAAAACCGACAATATCTCTAAAATGATAATAATTACAAGAATAAAATGTATAGACAAATGAGTTGATTACCCATTTGGTGTACAAATATTCTGCTGCCAATTTAGTATTTAGCAAAGTTTTTCCGAGTCATTTAGATCAAAGAATTAATTATCTAATCTCCATCATGGCTGTGTACATAAAATGAACAACTGCTTTGAAAGCAAAAGCAAATCCCAGACATTTTAGTAGATTTAGAAACCCTGGCCTGACACAAAAAGGTGTGGGTCTCTGTGGGTCTGCAGAGCATGTGAGACTGTCTGCCTCACGCACACAGAACAAGCAGTATGAAACGAGTAAAGGAGAGAAAATGTTAGACTACATCGCTTACTGATGTTTGTTTATATTGGCGTTTACAAAAAAAAGTGTAAAAGTATAATAAAAAAATAATTCACTTAATATACTTGGGTGGCTGTTATTATACCTGGGCGGCTCTCCCAAGTAAAGTCTATGTTTAGAAAGCCCTGGTTAATCATCAGTCTTATCAAAATGCATTTTTCTTCCCAAGTAAAATGATCTTGTTTTAGGTTTGCTTGAAGTAGACTTTTTTTTTTTTGAATAGGAAAAATATTCTGGTAAAATAGTGCATACAGAGCGTAACAAACAAAATATGTAAGTAATTGTGACACACTGTATTGTTTAGTGTGCTGTTCAAACGTGTTGTGAATGAGAAAAGCTTTTAGTGCATTTGTGCGAGACAGTATGATGTGTGTGTATGCGCGCGTGTGTGTGTGTGTGTGTGTGTGTGTGTGTGTGTGTGTGTGTGTGTGTGTGTGTGTGTGTGTGTGTGTGTGTGTGTGTGTGTGTGTGTGTGTGTGTGTGTGTGTGTGTGAGAGAGAGACCTGTGGCTAGGCTGCTGTAGGTGTGATTGGCTCACAGCTGTAGATAATGGATCAGTTCTCAGTGGACTGTGAAGGGGAAAGTTGGCGAACAAGAAAATCGGCAGTACACTTCCCTTCAGCCTGTGACCGCGCCGCACACACACACTTAACACAGAAGAAACCACAGACATTTACACAGGCCGTCTGTCAGTCCGTGGCATGCCAGCTTGGCCAGCGAGATCCCTGCCAGAAACTAAACGTTCACCCGGAGAGAGCGAGAGACACACACCCACTTCCTCTGTGTCTAACAAACACTTTAGAGCTGCTTTACAAACCCTGCCAAAGACATATTTAATATCTTGCTTTGTATTACAGATACATGCTGTCTCTTTCACGCGTGCACACAATAGGCAAAAAATGCTTGATCTGCAAGTCCGGGTGACGGGTTTACTCGGCGTCTGCTGAATCATGTGTTTGACAGATTTAGCAGCGAAGTGATGAATAGACCTGCTTAAGAAATTCAGTAACATCTACAGAGAAAAACAAACCAGGGGATGTCAGTCATGTCAGGCTGTGGTTTGTGTTTGTTTGTGTGTGCGTGGTTGTGTAGGTCAGGATTTGGCAGCATTGTGAGGCCAAAATGTCCCCAGCAGGATAGTAAAACTTGAAGTCACCAATATTGTGGAGACCAGTTAACAGTTCGGAAAAAATAAGAAGGAATAAATATAAGATGGTCATTGGGGAAACATGGGATTGTTGTTTGCTCATGATTCGCAATGACTTGGTGTCTTTGTGCTCTTATTTGTTCTCTCACTTGTTTTATTACTGCCCTTTACTTCATATTGCTCTCTCGTTCATTGGTGATATTTAATCCTGCTATTTACAGTAAGAGGTGTTTTTGGCATTCTTATCACAAGTAGATGACTAAATATGGGTATAAATGGGGTCTACAAAGTTTTGAGCATGCCAACTTTTTACTTCTTTCAGAGGCAGTAAAACACATGCTATTGGATTGCTTTCATGGTTAAATTTGTTTATAGTTTATATGTTTAGCTAGTTTCATTAAAAACAGTTCAGACAAAATTTAAAAACACCTCTTAAGAGTAGTTTTAAACGGCACTTATTTTACTCCTTTTACAAGATGTAAGATAAGCTTTTGGTGTCTGTAAATGTTCAGCTCAAAATAGACATCAGATAATTTATTATAGTCTTCAGAATCTGCCCATTTTGCCGTCTTGAGTATAGTTTAGCTGTTTTTGTAGCCTGTGGCTTTAAATCCAAATGAGCTGCTTTTCCCCGCCTACTGCTTCCACGTGCATGTCCTCTTCTCATGTGCTACGCCTAGGGCTTGACATGAACTTATTTTGATCACCAGCCACTTTGGCTTGTAGCTTTCCATCATTACTAGCCACTCGCCATTTTAACTAGCCACAATTGTGTTGTTGGGAAAATATATTTTATATGCATAAATTTGACTTTGGCATGCGTTGTGGCACGCTAAAGTGACTTAATTTAGATTTTGTGTTTTTTCCACTTGCCTCCTCATTCATTTAACTGTTTATTGTTTATGAGCTTACTCAATGAGCATGAGAAAATGGGTCATGCTTTCATGAAAAGTTGTCGCATTGCAATTAGTTTTCTTTCACAGGACTTTTCAGGGCTCAACACAATAAGGATTTACCTGTTTTTTTTCTGTGGCCACACCAAACTAATTATGTCCTTGCCACAAATTTTAAATAATGTGTCAAAGCAAGCAAAATACTGCTGTATCCATACACATTTATCATTTAAAACTAAAACTCATCTAAAACTATGGACAGTGGTCTGTTCTGTCTCTAGATCCCAGATCACCAGTTAACTATACATACAACAACATATTAAAGCAATAGTATTGTAAAAGGATGAATATTAAACAACACACACAGTTAATGTTAGGCCAATTAATAATCTGTTCGAAGAATGGTTAAAGCGAAAGCAACAACTGCTGCTGCTTACAATGAATCTCGAGCCCTTGAAGGACTGTGGGTGCACGAGGATCACGCTAGTTTTGTTTACAGGCACGGTTGCTTTGAGTGAGGAAACGGCACAGGTGCTTTTAAACATTTGTGCGCATCAAATCATCTGTGCGTGCGACACTAAAGCCCTCGTCAGTGAGTGAGGAAAGCCTGTCTCACCGTGCGCAGGATCCTCTCATTCGTTACTCACCTGCTTTATTTTGCTGGCGCGAAAAGCTGTTTTTGTCAGTCATGCTTCTTCACGATTCTAAGATCACATTTGTAGGCATATAGACAAATGATCATAACCTAACAGTCTAATCTGTAGTGACGACGAGCCAGCACTGATAATTTAAAAATGAGTTTCAGCCAGCCAAAGTAGCTAGTAGGAGTGGCTCTCTAACCTGCCACAATCGGAATCTACCCGCATTTAGCGGGTGTTAATGTAAAGCCGGATAAAGCTGAAATACAGCTCATTAATCAAAAATGCTAAATAAGTTTATTAAATGTATTTGTGATGGAATTTATTCAGTCCTTTCTGAAATGATGAGTATTACATGTTTACTGAAACTATGCGGCCGTCAATCAGCGCATGAGTCTCAAACTATCATGTAATGTTAGCTTTTGTCTAAATGCATGCATTACCAATCATTAACTAATGCGACCTTATTGTAAATTGATGTTTAAATTCACATGTATAGCAAAATGGTTGATTTTATTACTAATTTATTTATTTATTTATTTAAACAGTGTATTTATAATTTAGTAAATGGACAAATGTCAATTTGTATGTTTTATAGCAATAACATGGAAAAAATGATCAGCTTAATGCCAATATCCAGAGCTTTAATATAGGAGCATGCATAGACCTCTGGGCAAGGAGACTGCAAATATCATTGGTTTAGTACAAAAACAACGGAAGTCTCAATGAAAGTCAACACAGTGCTAGAAATAAACATGATCAACATTAAACAATGTTGTGTCTGTCTTTCATGACCCCACTTTAACGTAAGCTTATTGTTTCCTTTTGCCTTTTCCCAACAGAGAGCTAAAATCGGTCCCAGCAAAACAGATGGCTCCTCCTCTAACGCCATCTCCAAATTCGACAGTAATGGCAACCGGGACCGCATGAAACTGTCTGACTTCAATTTCCTCATGGTTCTAGGAAAGGGTAGCTTTGGAAAGGTAAGTCCCGTCCTCATTTTTCAAGCTCTTTCTGTGTGTTTGACTTTTCTAGGTAGTCTAACAAGAATTTAGGTCCAGAAATTAATCACAGTAATCACAATGCAAGTTACTTTGGGGTTGTCTTGTTTCTAGTCAAAATATCAGAAAAATAAAGAAAATCGATTTATTAATATAGATTCACTTTCAGAAATAATAAGTCAAAATGAAGCGAGATTTTCCTTTAAACAAGCTAAATAATCTGCCAGTGGGGTCAGCAAAATAATCTTGTTTTAGGTTTAAAATGCAAATATTTGGAGAAATTCTAAGTAAACAAGTAAAGTTTTTGTAGATGTAAATTAACACTGTATCATCGTCACTGTATAAATAATTAAATACAATTAATCTGTTATTGTGCCCAATTGTTTTAAACTCTCTTGAAATGCTCCGTCACAGGCCTTAAAAACACATGCAAATTATAAACTTTAATTTTATTATGAGTAATCTGAGCAGTGACTCTAAAAATCCTGTGTTTTATGGCACCTGGTCAACTATAATTCAGACTCAACATTGTAATGTGGTTATTGCGGATGCACACATTGCTGATGCTGAAACAATATTTTTTCCAGCCCTAATTCTATTTCACAGTTAAGAGTAATGAGGTTATCAGAGGTTATTAAGTATAGAATAATTAACGACAGGCTATTGAATTAGTAGAATTGGCACACCCAAGTTGAATTGTTTTCTATTAATTCATTGAACTGAAATTAATTATTTCACATATGCCATGGTTAATACTCATAAAGACACTGATCAGCTGTTGTATTTCAAAACATTTCTCTGTTTTTGTCCTCAACTGTCACCTATGTGTGGGTCAGTTTTCTTATCTCAATTTATGAATTTTGTTTTATTCTGTTTAGTAGGGATATGTAACTGTAATGCATTGAATAACTACTTTAGCTGTGCGTTTATGGTTTAAATTATAAATGATAAATGATTTTGTTCATCAGCAAATCAAAATTAAGCGTTTAATTGCCCCATAGTATAGTGTAAGTCCAAGCAAATGTCAAAACTGCAGATATTTTGTGATTCTGAGATGACAAAACCATATGAGTAATGAAAGCAAGTTTTCAGGCTGAGATAAATTAGATTTTAGCAACGATTACATTCTGTGATCATGATTACAGTATAATAGGGCTGCATGAAATTGAAAAAAATGACATTGCAATATTTAGTTTTTCTGCAAATTTATATTGCGAAATAAATATTTTCATATCAAAATGACTATTTGGAAAGAATTCATGATTTTACATTGATTGGGATGATTTTTTGAGAGTGGATCTGCATAAAATGTACTAAATTATAAAAAATATATAAAAAATAAAATAAATGAAAGCACAGATGACATCAAAATAAATAGCGCTTTATAGTTTTTAGTGAAGTCTGACAGTATAGATGTACAAAAATTCAATTAATGTAAAATAACACGGTACAGTCTTTATCGTTTACATAATTAAACACATATTTTCTTTGTTAAAGTTGCAAATTTGATGATTTCTTATGTCCAAATAGTTTAAATTCAATTGAAATTGCTTGTGATGTGACTATTGCATATTCGCACATTGCGATATCGATGCTGAAACGATATAGTGTGCAGCCCTATTTATTTACAAACTTAAGTCAAAATTGACGTGCAAGTTGATTTCGGGTTCCTCTGGGGGTGCTGTCATTATATCACAGGGTTTAGTGTCATTGGAAATCTTGGGTATTATGCTGGATACAAAACCGGCAGCTGGCATAATCTCTGGTATCACGTAGCCTCGCTGATGCTTCGAGCAGCAGGTAATCTGGAGCTGTGTGGTCACTCTGAACAACTAAGATTAGCGGGCCGCAGAGCTAAAAGTCAGCGAGATGGGAGGCAGGAGGGTGAGTGGGCATCGTCATGTGCCAGCTGCTGCCAGTTGCCATGGCGACAGGATTTAAAAATGATATTGATATGTTGAGGTTTACAGTAGTGCCAGACCTCTGTCAGCATCATTAACCGAGATGTCGTTTGATGTCGCGAACGCCACGACAAACAAAATGTCAACTTCACTGCCGTGTGTGATGGACTGACCTGTCCAGTTCGGTCTTGTACGTTTAGTCCCAGAGGCAACCAAACGTCACACACAAAGGTCTGTACAAGACCCTGTGCTGACCCCGTGCTGCTCTGCAGTTACATAGACTGTAGATAAATAAAATGGGAAGGGTAAATAATTGTGTTAATCAATATTTGTTTCCTGATCTAAACATTTCTCATTCAGGGCTCAAGTGTTTTCTCGTAGCAGAAAAAGGTCTAAAAAAATTACAAGGTACTTAAAGTCCTCTTGAATAAAAATATTAAATATAGAATGTACTTGGAGATCTTTCATTTGGTATTTTGTTTTAGCTGGAAATACATCACATTGACCAAGTAAAGGCTGTTGACTTCAAGCTTATATGGACTTCAATAACTTAAATAATGGAAAGAACTACATCAAGCGCTTTAGTTGACAATCAAATAAAATGAAAAAGAGCACAACCGTCCAGAAACAACCCGTTTCTGAAAGTTAAAACTTTAATTTTCTCCAAAATGATTAAAAGTAAGTAATTTCATTCAGTCTTTTAAGCAAATTTAGTTTAAATCTTCAAGAATGTCTAAATATCTTGTATATTTTTACTTTTGAAGTATGTGATCATGATGTTTTTATGAATCTAATAATGATTTTTACTCTGGGGAAAAAGCTTATTTAAGTGTCAGTGGTGGTATTGACATAGCACTGTGTTTAAATGTAAAAAGAAGTTGCAGGCCGCTGTGCCCCGTAATGATGTGCGTTCAGCAGAGGGAGCTTCAAAAGCTGACAGATGTGCATTTTCACAAAGTCCAGTTGTGTGATTTTCACGGGTTTGATGCAGATCTCACAGCGGGAGACTTGATCATTGATCAGATTCTGTCCTTGAATGTGCTGATCCTGGAGCAGTTCTCATCCAGAGCCCAGCAGACACTTTTGTGCCGTCTGCACTAGCTGACGGCGTCCTTGAGACTTTCGAGCACTCGTGTACCTTTTGTTTGATGTGCGATTTTCTAAACAGGTATGCAGCAGTAATGAATGCCTTGGAATAGATATGACCTGCTTGCTATGCTGCTAGAGTATTATGCGTGTGTGTGCGTCCGTGTGTGTGTGTTAGGGTGTAGAGCTTGTGAGGAGCAGATGGTGTCCTCTGTAATGTTGAAGTGTATCGCTTCTCTTTTCCCATCGCCAGTCACAAGGTGTCCATCTGGGGCTGCCTTTACACTGAAACAACTCTACTCATTTCAATATGTGCATTTAATTTCAAGAGAGAGCAAAAAGGCAGAGCCAGGCTGTCCGTAAAGTTTCTTCAAGCATTGCCTTTCCTCTGTCAGGATATTCTGTGTGTGTGTGTGTGTGTGACCTTGACGCAGAATGAGGTATTTGAGAGATGCTTTCACACACTGATGAAGCACTATTGGTTTGGGGACAAGAAGTGCTGTGTGGCTGTGTCAGGCATATTGGATTGGGTTTAAATTTACACACACACACACACATATACACATGCATGGACCAGAGTGTTAGATAAACTATTCTGAAGCTTTAGTTTACATAGAAACACTGATACTGTTAAAATGCTCTTTCTACAAATTCAAGATTAGTAACTTTGGTTTATTTACATGAAGAGATTCACGGCAAAGAAGTTCACACTTTCTGGTGTTACATATACAGTACATAAGACTTTTGCAGAGCGTGTTTGTTTACTGGCATGCTTTCTGTCATAAAAGTAGCTTGTTATTTTAAAAGCTGCACGGTTTTGAAAATGTTTAAACTACAGTCTTGATTCTGTAAAATGTGCTTGATTTGCATATGGATGGAATCTAGTAAGTCAAGCGCCATGTGTATGTGCTGTTTAGAGCAGGGGTGCCCAAACTTTTTCTCATGAAGGGCCAAAATTCAAGCTTTGATTGAGAGCTGTGGGCCAAAAGTAAATACAGCAAACTGTGTTACATTAAAGTTTTAGAATGACCGAAACAACATTTCACATGTTTTACAATGTGCTTAGACTGCTGGTCTGTTCATTCACACACATTTGTAATATCACCTGATCTCTTATAACAAAATCCCATGACTTTTTAATACACATACTGGAATTTGTTCGGTGTTTCCATCGTAGTTCATGCACATCTTTTGTTATCGAATTAAAAGTTTCTCCAAGTTTTAGAATTGATGTGCATCTTGGCATTTTCATCAACCACAATGCGCATAAAAAATTTTGTGGATTCCATTGGTGGATGAAAGTGTAGCTTGTGTTTGATTTAATTTTGTCTAGGTCTATCATAACAAAATGTTTTAGAAGACCTCTAAATGTGGATAATGGCTGGAATGCTGCCAGGCTTTGTTAATTTTAGTTGTGTATTTTATGTGTGTATGACATATTGTTAATTTATTTTTAATATCAGTTTAAATCTAATATATTTCATTATTTTAATTTAATTATATGTTTTGCTGTCATTTACTTTTTCACTATATTTACTTTAGTTTTCAAATTTGTAATGTTGGCGACGCAATGGCGCAGTAGGTAGTGCTGTCGCCTCACAACAAGAAGGTCGCTGGTTCGATCCTCGGCTTAGTTGGCGTTTCTGTGTGGAATTTGCATGTTCTCCCTGGGTTCGCTTGGGTTTCCTCCGGGTGCTCCAGTTTCCCCCACAGTCCAAACACATGCAGTACAGGTGAATTGGGTAGGCTAAATTGTCTGTAGTGTATGAGTGTGTGTGGATGTTTCCCAGATATGGGTTGCGGCTGGAAGGGCATCCGTTGCGTAAAAATGTCCTGGATAAGTTGGCGGTTCATTCTGCTGTGGCGACCACGGATTAATAAAGGGACTAAGCCGACAAGAAAATGAATGAATGAATGGATTTGTAATCTTAGTTAACACTTTTAAAGACATATTTAGCTTTGTTAAAGTTTATTTTTGCCATTAATTCTGTTTTGGCAGATTGCATTTACCTATAAACTGTCTTTGTCAATTTGTAGTCAAATATATAAAATTGCCTGTTTTTACAATTGCAGTGATTTCAGCCAATAAAAATGTTTATGCGTTGTTTTCATTATTGTTTTCCTTATTACCACTTATAACATTAACCTCGTGTCTCCCTCACATTGATTTAATCTTTCTGAACGTCTGTTGCTCAAAGTAGTCTTTATATCTTACCTTCTTTTTTGTCTGTCTCTTTCCATTTATTTAGTACTCATACCTTCAGGCTCGATCCTAAAAATGAGCACAAATTAAAATCTGCCCTCCCATCACTCACGATTTCTTGCACCGTGTCATTGTGTGGCACTCAGATCTGTTGCTTATTGTTCTCAGACTATCTTGTCTCTTCAGTCTGTAAGTTCCCCTCATATCTGTGCAGTATATTGTATGTGTTTCAACCACAGCTGTTCTCTGGCCTAACGTGCTGAGAATGAGGGAAAACGCTCCTGTATTGATTCCCAGTCAAAGGCCAGTGTCTGTTCTGCTAATACATGAAGCTCATGCACTGTTACTGTGTTTTTGTGCAAATTTTCCTCTGCTTGCTTTCTCTGATGTTTCAGTTATGTGTTTGACACTGAACAGTCCTGCTTATCTTCACTCTCTTTGCATTTTTTGTAGGTAATGTTGGCTGAGAGGAAGGGAGCGGATGAGCTGTTTGCCATAAAGATCCTGAAGAAGGACGTGGTGATCCAGGACGATGATGTCGAATGCACTATGGTGGAGAAGAGAGTGCTGGCTTTGTCAGGAAAACCCCCGTTCCTAACCCAGCTGCACTCCTGCTTTCAGACAATGGTAGTGCATATTCAGCATACTTCTGTTTTGCAATCTTTTCATGTTGTTACTTCTCATCTCTTCTTTTCTTCTTCTCTCATCTCATCTCAAAGTTTGATCTGTTTTGTCTTCTGTTTGAAGTCTCTTCTTGTCTTTTCTGTTTTGCTCTCGTCTCATCTCTTCTCACCGTCTTTTTTTGTGTTTTGTGCTCTTGTCTGATTTCATGTTGTTCTCTTTTCCCCTCATGTCATCTCATCTTGTCTTTTCTTATCTCTTTTCTATTTGAAATATAATTTCTCGTTTATCCTGTTGCTCTTGCCTCATCTCTTCTCAACTTGTTCTCTGCTGATCTTTCATGGGGTTTCTTCTCATCTCTTCTTTCCTCTTCTAATCTCTTCTTATTTTTTCATGTCTAGTCTATTAGTTTAATCTCTTGACTTCTGTTTGAAGTCTTTTCTTGTCTGCTTTGTTTTACTTTTGTTTAATCTCTTCTTTCATCTCTTGTGTTTTCTGCTCTTGTCTGATTTCATGTAGTCTTTTAGTATTGTCCCATTTTGTCTCTTCTCATTAGAGGTGTGAACCTACGCTGGTCTCACGGTTTGGTTCGGTTAAGATTATAATGCCAATAATTCGGTTCAATTCGATATCTCGGTGCATCGCGGTGCATTGGCGATGCTTTCCATACACAGTTTTATATTTTCTTCAAAGCACAGCAATCCTTGTATTAAAATGTATAAATATATTTATATTTATATACTATTTGTAATACAATTTTCTCCTTTAATAGAAACAGTCACATATATGAACTGTACCTTTAAAAACTCAAGTACATGCACAGAACAACATGAGCAATTATAACAAATAAACAAATATAAATTCCTGCTCCCATTCTGATTGGTCACACGCTCAACAGAAAGGGCTGCGATTGGCTTGAATGCTCTGACGCTGTTAACTGATGAGTGACATCGATAAACGGCAGCGGCGATCACAGCTGATCCAGACACGGGGGAGAAAACTCACTCTGCAGACACGCACTTGTAGTATTGCTGTAACCGCCGAGAGGAGAGGAAAAGTCTCGCCAGCAAATCAAATGGGCCACAGTGAGAGAGAGAAATTGAGTTTACTTTCATTTTCTCAATCGCAGTGAAATAGGGGCTTCTTCTGTAAGTGTCCGTAAAAGACTGTCGAGCAAACACATTCGCAGTGAAATTGTGCAGTTTCTGTGTTATTAAGTCATTGGTAAATACTCGCGCTTGCCTCCGTCGCTATAGTAAGCTCATATTAGATAAATGACGGAAGTGCATAATAACCGGTAATGACTATTACTGAACCGATACCGAATTGTCCGTGTCTGCATCACGGTGCACCGATGAAGCAATTAATTTTGACACCCCTACTTCTCATGTCTCTTTTGTTTAAAGAGCCCCTATTTTGCATTATAAAAGGTTATATATTGGCTTTGGGGGTCTTCAACAACAGGCTGATATGCATGCAAGGTCAAAAAACACTTTCATTGTCTTATAATATGCATTTTTTTACCTACTTATCCCAACAACTCCTACATGATTTGTTCTGCGATTAATTTGTTCCCAGACCATTTACGAAGCTAATCTGCGCTGATTGTGCGAGTTCAGAAATGGATTTGAATTGGTAAAGGAAGAAGCACTCGTCATGTTTTCAACATGGTTTTGGACACAACATGTGAATTTCCCATAAAGATTTCACCTGAGAGATACAGTACAAGCACAGATCTATAATAGATACATGATTACAAGCCATGCGGGGCGATTACAGCTAACAACACACAATTAAACACAACATTTTGCAAACTACACAAAACAAGGCAACAACTTTGAATACACTTACATGTTATGATCCGGAGGAAGAAAAAACTGGTCCATATGATCTGTAACAGTTACTGACGTAAGTTACTGATGTAAGTCCCATACATAGTTTCTGCTGCTCCTTTCTTTAATAGCAAACGGCCGATGAATCCCACGTTGCAGTGTAGGTTATTGTATCAAAAACCTGAAAAATGGTAGGAACAATTACAGCACTAGGTTGGCTATACTGTGGTATTTTTGTAAAAAATTAACTTTAACCGTTTATTCCCTGCAGTCAAATCTCCATCTGTTAGTGATCGTTATCTTTGTGTCATGATCAGTACCGTGATCCCCTGCACTCCACTAGCATCTGAAAGAAAAGGCACGTTCACGTTTGACCTGAAACAGTACTACATATTTGAAGATGTACTATGTCGACGTCAATCTGTTCAATTGTTTTAAACATGGCCCACCTTCAGATTTAAACCTCAGCTACATATTTTCATTCACTTAGTTCTGTTACACACTGCATAGAATCTCATTTTCAAAAACCCGTAATAGAGGCTCTTCAAAAATATCAGTATAGTTACTATCAGTAGTTGTGCCATTGTAAAATATTAAAATTATTTTTATTTACAAATACAAGTGGATTCAACATAATATAAGTTTCACCAAAAAATCAAGAATTATGTTCCGCTCTTTTTTTAAGCAAATATTTTACACAAGCATCAAAAATCTTTTTTACACATCCCATCTTGTTTCATATAATGCATATTACTCTTCTTGTCTCCTCTGTTCATCTTATTTCCTTGTTTGGCCCCCTCTCGTCTTCTCTCATCTTGTCTTATCTGCTCTGCTCTTCATTTCATTTCATCTTGCCTTGCATTATCTCATGATATCTCTTTTTGTCCTTACCACTACAGTTCTTGTCTCTTCTCCTCTCTCATGTCATCTCCTCTGCTTTCCTCGCCTTTCTTTTTGTTGTTGTTGTGGTTGTTGTTTTTGTGTTATATTCTTTTCTTGTCTCTTCTTGTCCTCATCCCATTTCCTCTCATATTGTCTCTTTTTATGTCTCCTCTTCTCAACTCATTCATTCATTCACTCATTTCCCTTCCCTTTATTCATCAGGATAATTAATCTCTTTCTCTTGTCTCTTTTGTCTCATCTCATCTCCTTCACTTGTCTCATCTTGTCTCACTTTCTTTCTCGTCTCATTTATTTCTCTCATCTCTTTTGCTTGTCTCTTCTCTTTTGCTTGTCTCATCTCGTATCTTTCTCTTCTGTCATTTCATCTCATTTTGTCTCTTGTCTCATATCATATTTTCTTCTCACCTAGTCTTATCTCTTTCTCTTATTTCATATCGTCTCTTTCTCTTGTTTCATATCGTCTCTTTTGTCTCACATCATCTCTTTCACTTGTCCCACCTTGTTTCACTTTTTTCCCCTTGTCTCATCTATTCCTCTCATCTCTTTCGCTTGTCTCTTCTCTTTAGCTAGTCTTAACACGTATCTTTCTCTTCTGTCATCTCATCTCATTTTGTCTCTTTCTTGTTTCATATCATATTTTCTCTTCCCACTTTGTCTCATTTCTTTCTCTTTTCTCATCTTGTCTATTTCTATTGTTCATCTCTTTCTCTTGTCTCATCTTGTCTCTTTTGTCTTATCTCATCTCTTTTACTTGTCTCATGTCGTCTCACTTTCTCTTTTCTCATCTATTTCACTCAACTCTTTTTTGTCTAGTGTCATCACATCTCTATTTTGTCTCATCTTTTTCACTTGTCTCATTTTGTATCTTTCTCTTCTCATCTTGTCTCTTTCTTGTCTCATTTCATCTCGTCTCATCTCATGTCTTTCACTTGTCTTATCTTGTCTCACTTTCTCTTGTCTCTATTTCTCATTTCTTTCTCTTGTCTTGTGTCATCACATATCTTTATTTTGTCTCATCTCTTATCTTTCTCTTCTGTTAGCTCATTGCATCTTTTCTCTTTCTTGTCTCATATCATATTTTCTCTCATCTTTCTCATCTCGCGTCTCATCTCTTTCTCTTGTCTCATCTCTTTCACTTGTCTCACCTTCTTTCTCTCGTCTCATCTAGTTCTCCTGTCTAGTGTCATGACATCTCTTTCGCTTGTCTCATTTCGTATCTTTCTCTTCTGTTATCTCACATCATCTTCTAACTTTCTTGTCTCATATCATATTTACTCGTCTCACCTAGTCACATTTCTTTCTCCTCATTTTGTTTCTTTCTCTTGTCTCATCTCTTTCACATGGCTCATATTATCTCACCTTCTTTCTCTTGTCTCATCTGTTTCTCTCATCTTTCTCTTGTCTAGTGTCATCACATGTCTTTTCTCTCATCACATGTCATCTCTTTCACTTTTATTATGTTGTATCTTTTTTTTCTTCTGTTGTCATCTAATCTTGCCTCTTTCTCGTCTCATACCATATATGCTCTTCTCTCACCTTGTCTCATCTCTCTAATCTCATCTAGTCTCTTCTGTTTTCTCATCTCTTTCTCATCTCATTTCATCTTGTCTCTTTTTTCCATCTTATCTTTTTCACTTGTCTCATCTCATCTCATTTTCTTTCTCTTGTCTCATCTATTTCTCTCATCTCCTTTGTCTAGTGTCACCAGATCTCTTTCTTGTCTCATCTTGTCTTTTTCTTGTCTCATATCACATTTTCTTTTGTCTCACTTTCTCATCTCACCTCTTTCTTTTGTCTCATCTATTTCACATCTCTTTCTGTTGTCTAGTGTCATTACATCTAGTCTCTTTTGTCTCATCTCTTTCACTTGTCTCATCTAGTCTCACTTTCTCGTCTCATTTATTTCTCTCATCTCTTTCTCTTGCCTAGTGTCATCACATCTCTTTCTTTTGTCTTGTCTCTTTTGCTCGTCTCATCTCGTATCTTTCTGTTCTGTTGTCTGATCTCATCTGTCTTGTCTCATCATATTTTCTCCTGTCTCAACTTCCCTCTTGTGTTTTCTCATCTCTTTCTCTTGTCTCATTTCTTTCTCATTTATTCTTTTTCTTTTGTCTATTCTCATCTCATCTGTCTTTTTCTAGTCTCATCTTTTTTCTTGTCTTATCTTCTCACCTCTTTTTTCATCTTTCCCTCATCTAGTCTCTTTCTCTTGTTTAGGTCTTGTCACTTCTCATCTCATATCTTTCTCTTGTCTCATAAAATATTTTCTTATTTTCTTATCATATCTAATCTTTCTCTTTTCTCATCTTGTCTCTTTCCATTGTCTTATCTTGTCTCATCTATTTCTCTCATCTCTTTCGCTTGCCTCATCTCATATCTTTCTCTTCCGTCATCTCATCTTGTGTCTTTCTTGTCTCATGTAATATCTCGTCTCACCTTGTCTCATCCCTTTTCTTACCTTATCTCTTTCTGTTGTCTCATCTCGTATGTTTCTCTTCCGACATCTCATCTTGTCCCTTTCTTGTCTCATGTCATATCTCGTCTCACCTTGTCTCATCCCTTTTCTTACCTTATCATCTCTTTCTGTTGTCTCATCTCATCTCGTATGTTTCTCTTCCGTCATCTCATCTTGTCTCTTTCTTGTCTCATGTCATATCTCGTCTTACCTTGTCTCATCCCTTTTCTTACCTTATCATCTCTTTCTGTAGTCTCATCTCATCTCGTATGTTTCTCTTCCGTCATCTCATCTTGTCTCTTTCTTGTCTCATGTCATATCTCGTCTTACCTTGTCTCATCCCTTTTCTTACCTTATCATCTCTTTCTGTTGTCTCATCTCATCTCGTATGTTTCTCTTCCGTCATCTCATCTTGTCTCTTTCTTGTCTCATGTCATATCTCATCTCACCTTGTCTCATCCCTTTTCTTACCTTATCATCTCTTTCTGTTGTCTCATCTCATCTCGTATGTTTCTCTTCCGTCATCTCATCTTGTCTCATGTCATATCTCGTCTCACCTTGTCTCATCCCTTTTCTTACCTCATCATCTCTTTCTCTTGTCTTGTCTCATCTCATCTCGTATGTTTCTCTTCCGTCATCTCATTTTGTCTCTTTCTTGTCTCATATCATATTTTCTCACGTCTCACCTTGTCACATCTCCCTCTCTTATCACATCTCATCTTTTTCTAGTGTCTCGTCTCTTTCTCTTGTCTTGTCTTATCTTATCTGGTCTCCCTTTCTCTTGTTTTGTCTCATCTGGTCTCCTCACTTCACCTATGCTTTCCTCCTCTTACTTCTCCTTTCATTTAAACTATTCTCAGCTGCTCACCTCAACTCTCCTTTTCTCATATCTCCTTGTCTCTTCTCATTGTCTCCTCACCTCTGCCTGTCTGTTTCTCATTTTCTCTTCTTGTCTGTTCTCATTCCTCTTTACTTCTCTCATTTCATCTCCTTATCTTCCCTCCACTACATAGCTCTCGTTTTTCATTGTCTTTTGTCTCTCTTCTCTCATTTGATCTCGTCCTTGTCTACCTTGCAGTCCTCTCATTCTTCCTATTGTACATTCTCTGACATAAGCATAAGCGTGGGCACACATGTCACTTTATATTTTTTCATTTTGTTGCACATGACCAGACACATACACACACACACAAACTGTATTTAAATCCATCCCTCCCCATCCCCCACACTCTTCTTCGAGACTGCAGTCATTTGTACATCGACAAGAATGGTGTGTGTGGTCATGTGAATGTGACATGCTCACAGGGAGGTGGGGGGCAGCACAACACACATTCATCTGTGGCCGCAGTGAAGCTTTGACAGGCAGCATCGCCATCTCTCAACGTCCTACTGAGCGCTGCATGAGCCCCTGTCACCGACAGCAAGATAGCGAAAGACGGAGAAATCGAGACAGGAAGTGAAAGTCAAAAGATAGAGAGGACTGAGTCAGAAACCGAGGAGACTCTGGGGGAGGAAAAGATTGTGACGTCACACGGCCGAGGCTCTTTTTTGCCTGCTTTTTCTGGAAACACATTGGATCTCAAGCAATGCTACGTCACCAAGTCATCTTCTCCTTCACACACACACACATGTTCGTTAAGAGCAAATAAAGTGGCGAGATATCTAACGCGGTGTTGGGAGGGGATTTCTTTATGGAAGGGGATCAGTCACAGGGGGTATTTGCCTGCCAAACAGCTGCAGTCATGTAGATTATCCTCAAGCCTATAATGGAGAGTTAGTCAGATGTTTGTGTGTGTGTTTATGTGGTTGTGTATGCTGATGTGTTGTAGTTGTGGGGGTTTAGGTAGTTGGTGTGTAGTGGAGTGAGGTAAAGACTCTTTCCCGCCCGCCTTCTTTCGTCCTGACAGTGATGGGACTTCCTTTAAGCACTGCTGCCTAGCAGTCCGTCTCCCCCTCGCACTCTTCATCACTTTCAGTCTCTTAATCCTCCCTGACTCTAATTCCCCTGACCATCTCACACACACACACATTCATACACACACACACACCACCATCACTGCAGGAAATTACACCACCCGCAACTGATGCAAAATAAGCCTCATCATTACAGGAAGAAAGCCAATAAAATGGAGCCCGGGGAAATTGTGGCTGAAACTTGCAGATATGAAGACGTCCAGCGTGTTTTGATCTCTGGATTTTGGCCCTGGGATTTGTCTGGTATATTTGTGTGTGGATGCGCAGTGTGAATATGTTAAAAAAACGTATTATAGGCCTGTGTCGCTAAAAGTAAATTGCAGGGGGCTGAGTGACAAAAATCCAATACATGCAAACCAATACACACACAAGTCCACCAACCAATCTCACTGTTAAGTCAGTAGTCAGTACATCAGGATTATGAGGTTTGGATAAATACTTGGGAAGCTTATAGTTTTACAGTCTAGTTCCACAATTAATGGGTAACACCTATGTTCTAACTCTGAAACTACCCCTAAACATAATCTTAAGGCCCATTCTCAATTCTGTTTTTTTCATTTTCATCCTCAGGTAGTCACTGAAGGCAACGATATCATGTTATCATTACAATCTAATGTGACAGTAAGCTCGTAACTGTACTATGCATTAACAATGTGGCCATATTCAACTATGTAAACACACAAAAACAACATTAACATTATACCAGACACTGTAAAGAGGTCATTGCCAGCCACTAAATTGTTCTGACAGGGTATTCCAGTGTCTGCGAGTGACAGATGTGAAAGTATGTGATTGCTTTACTCTCCTAAGGCCCAAGCTGTTTTTTTTTACATGCATTTTTTTTATATTTCTTTGCTCTTTGGGCTTATTGGAACTTAACTAGAATAAAACCTAGGTATCACCTTTTAATATGATGTACTTTTAGAGACAAATGATGTCCATACATGTGGACTTGTGGTCCGAATTTCTATAAAACACAATAAAGTCACCTTTGTGTAATAGAATGAAAAGCTTTTTATTTCTGCCTTGAACACAGCAGTTTTTTTTCCCTGACTGTTTTTTAATGCAATAATAACACATACACACATATTTTTTGAACATGTTTTGACTATCAGTAAAAACAATTTTTTTTGCCCATTTTGGATAGTTAAAATAGTGTTTGGGACATTTCATATGCTGCAAAACAGTTGCAGGATGACACTGTCTGTAACAAAATAAAAACATAAGACATAAGAGCTTAAAATGTGCTGTCCATGTATGTGGCCACAAAGCTCTAAGGAGGGTAAAAGATTTTCTACTATGCATTTTAGAAATCTAAATTTTGCTGTTTTTATTTTAGCATGTTTTTATAAAGCATGAAAACATGAACATGAACGTGGTTATGAATATATTAAAACATATACTTGTTTGTTGTAAAGATTTGTAATGATGACAAAACAATGCTAATTTGTGCATCTCCTGACTTCTCCTGACTTACCATGCTGTTGTTGTAGCTGGTGTATTCTGAAATATTTTTGTACCCTTGCTTTCGAGTGTGGTTCTGAAAAATCTCCGCTTCAAGGGCTATCTAGCCCTTCCCTTGAGCCCTACACCTTCAAGCTAAGAGAATTGGAGCACCCCTACCCCTTTGAACCAAGTGTGAAAACACCCTGAGAATTTAGTTCCCTTACATTACCTTGAACCTGAATTCCAAAATGTGTTATTTCTTCTAGTGAACCAGGCAACAACATCACGACTAGCCGTAAAGTAATGGCTCTTAGAAGATATTTGCTTTAGTAAACGATTAAATGTTCCCAGTGTTGTTCAAATCCCACAAAAAAATATCACCTGATAATTTTTATTAAATCTAAATCATGGAGATTTTCTTTAAATTATTTTTTATATTCCTCTTGTTTTTGTCCATTGAATTGAAATCATATACTGTAGCACAGCAATTCCATTCTGTTTAGCATATCAAAACATATCAGTATAATCTGCTTCTTGAGCAAATTGATTTTGATGGATAGTTCTTTTGTGAAACATACAGCATGAATAATTCTGTCCAATTTTCTAATTTATGACTCATGTGAGCAGATTCCTTTTAGTGAAATATGATAATCCATACTCCTCTGCATTTGTCCTCTGCATTTAACCTTTCAAACTGTTTCAGTGTGACCAATGCAATCTGATTCCTGACTGACTGACTATCATGAGCTGATTATTTTTAGTGAGTCATCAAAAACATTTCCAGTTACAGAAAAACTGAAAAACAATCTGTCATCTGCTCTTAATGTACTGTGTTTGTCTCTTACCCACTTATCAGGTCTCTTATCAGGTCTCTGTGTGTGTCTACAGGACCGCCTGTACTTTGTCATGGAATACATCAACGGTGGAGATCTCATGTACCATATCCAGCAGGTCGGCAAGTTTAAGGAGCCCCATGCTGTGTGAGTAAAGCTTTCATCTCTGTCTTTGCAAAGCGCCATCAAGTGGCCACACTACTAGGATATGCCACTTTTTGATTCATCCAGTCAAAACCAAAACCAGATGAGTGGCCAATGAGTTGCCATTTTTTATTTTTTATTTTTGAAGGAAATAAGCCAACAAATTTAAGATCAGAAAGTTCATTGAGTTAATGTAGCTTGGTTAAAGGGATAGTTCTTGCATTTACTCACCCTTTATACCAAATTAGTTAGTTTTTTTCTTTAGATGAACACAAAAGAAGATATTTTGAAAAAAACAATTGACTTCCATTGTTGTTTTTCCTACTATGGAAGCCAATGGTTACAGGTATTAATTTTTTCTTTCAAAATAACTTCTTTAGTGTTCAGCAGATGAAAGAAATGGTTAAGGTTTGGAATCATTTGAGGCAGTGTAAATTGTGAGTTCATTTTCATTTTTTGGGTGAACTATCCTTTAAACTTACTAGTTAATTCATCTATTAGAGAGTTACTGATAACTTGAAAGATCTTGTTGTCGTTCTTTGATTGAATTTTCATTATGTAAGCACAAAAGTAAATGGATAAAATGGGTGTGGGTGGATTTTTTTTTTATTGTAATTTTTTTTTTTGTACAGGACATTGAGGTTTGATTAATTTGTTTTGGTGCACTTACGTACAGCATGTCCAATAACACACCACGGGCTCTATTTTAATGATCTAGGCGCAAAGTCTAAAGCGCATGGCTCAGAAGCATTAAGGTGTGTCCGAATCCACTTTTGCTAGTTTAAGGATGGAAAAATATGCCCTGGAACAAGTTTTAATAGGGTTGTGCTTATTCTCTTAATGAGTTATGTAAGTGGAAAAACTGAACGCTTCACTAGCAAGAAAATCGTTAAATAGACCATTTGCAGCACGAGGATAAAGAATGAGCCTCCTCCATTCTGCCTTTTTACTTTATTTATTTTATTTTTTACTTTTGTGGATAAGAAACAATGTTGTACGCACTCCACCGAAGACATTCTTTAGCCGACATATTTAATTTTGTTTGTTAAGCGCAAAGATTTGTTTCAAAACTATTTCTAAATTCAGTTCTAATTTCCAGCAAAGGAATAAATAAACAATAATAACAAAGTGTGGTCAAAAAACTGAGTTTTATCCAAATGTTGATCCCAACATCTCCAAAACTTGACAGGTGGACAAATCTAAACTAAACAAATCTAAATGCAAATTGTCATGAATGAACTGAAAAAAAGCATGGAGGCAGTGTTTTTTTTTTATTTATGTAGAAAGTAATTTCATATGTAAAGATATTTGTGTATTGCTGTACATCCTGTGTGTATTAAGCAATGTGTAAGCGTTTGAACCCACACAGGCGCATAAGTAACTTTAGACCTGCTTTTAGATGGTCAATGGTGAGGTTTAATTTAGTTCAACAATGCTCCTTGACACACCTCCATTTTAGACCACATGGATTTGCTATTTAAACAACGTTGTGCAAAACATGAAAATTAGGGTTACGTTGGTCTGAAAATAGCAAAAAATCACGCCAAACACGTCTTGCACCTTATTGCGCCAGGTGTATGATAGGGCCCCACATGCTTGATAAGTAGGCTGAGTTTTGTGACTGTCTCATTACATTCAACCCCATAAGTGTTTACCCAATAAATGCAGTCAGACTGCCTCTAGAAATGGTCAAAAGTGGCCAATCTTAAAACATCTCAGACCCCATTTACATCTGTTTTAGGGTCATTCACTTGAGAGTGGTTAAATTGATTTTAGAGTGGTTGAGGTTATCCAGCAAGCACACACACACACACACACACACACACACACACACACACACACACACACACACACTGAAGAATGAACAGGTGCCCTGGTTGTTATTGCCCAATTGGATGACGAGTGGAAATGAGGGACAATCAAAGGGCAGAAAGAGTTTCCCGCTGTGCTGTGTTGTCACTTCAAAGTGACCTCAGAAAGCTGCAGCTCCTTCTCCTCCTCTTTCTCCTGTTGGAGATGTGAGTTGTCTATTCAGCATAATTCATAATTAGGTGTGTGAAGGCCAGGTCAGCTTAACTCATCTCTGACTTTCTGTCTTTCTCTTCTTTTTATCTTTATTTCTGCGGCTCGTTTCATCAATTCATTTCTCCCCCCTGTGGTTTGATGATATGTTGAGTTGACTCAGGCGAGATGAGAGGAAATATAGAAAGCTTGTTTCTATTTCTATTGTGTTCTGTTTCTATTGTATTTTTGTCTTACATAGTTGGTAAATGTGTGATGCATTTTATTGACAATAGTATTATAACTGTTGTTTTGGGTCATGAAACCCTCCTCTTTCAGTTCAAGTCTATCACAGAATTCTTCAAAAAATGCTCCATGATAAGCGTAGTTTACCAAGTTAAAATGCAAAGAAGTAAACAGTAAGTAGTTTAATGCTGTTACATATATGATAGGCTATTTGTAATTTCATATAATTTATAACCACAGTTTGTTATATCATTATAAAGAGAATCATGTTTAAATAAACACATAAATGAGGAGGACTTCTCTCCTCCTGAACCCCAGGTCTGAATACAGACACAGTGGATAGCAGTACAGCAGGTCTCTATCCCAATCAATACCAACCATTTGCCCTGCTGGTAAACAGGAGATTTTAAACATAGGCAAACACAGCAGCAAGGATAGGTGATGTGTCTGAATGGTAACAAACCCAACTGATAAAAGACAAAGTCCGCCATTCTCCCATTCTTGTACAGCTCTCACAACAAAAATGCTTGCTGCACTCATAGAGCTTGGCTGTATCGGCCATCACAGCATTGCAGGGAAAGCCATGCAACAAACCCTGTGGATTATGGAAGCAAACACCTATGACCCTTCACAACGACCCAAATACTGCATGCCATGCATCGACTCACAGCTTGGCAGGTCTGTCTATATCAGTCTGTCACCAGAAAGCCATTGCTGTCATAAATAATTAAGAAGCAGCGTCTTCTCATAGGATAAGAAAACCCAGTCTATGAATTATAAACTGACACGTCATCACTGGACAGGCAGATTGCACCAATTTAGATCCCATCCCAATAATGATTTTAAACCTGGAAGAGGAAATTAGCTGACAAAAGCTCAAAATTATCCAATTTTACCCACAACTAAAGCTAACAGGTGTCTTAAATGATGCTCAACACACACAAATCTGTTACAATCTAAAACAAAAACTACTCTTTAATGTGTGAGCTCACATTATCAAAATGTCTCTCTCAATTGTTCGCACAAATTAATCAATCACATGCTTTGAGCGGTTATGTTGAGTGTTAACACGTGCACACTTTAAGTGTTTGACATTGTGCAAATAAATTGTATACACAGTTTAGTAAACAAAATACATTTTTTGTCTGTTTGTTGAATGGGTTGTTACGCATTGGCAATTACTACTGCTTGAAAAAGTTAATGACAAGTTAATTAATCAAGTCAAATCAAATAATTTTATTTGTCTAATCAGTTGAAAACTAATAATTTTTATCAATTGTTTTTACTTTTTTTATCAGTAATAAACCAATATTGTCAAAATTTAACTGAACTTAATGAAAACATTTAATTACCAATTGTATCCATCACACTCACAATTTTTTAACTTTTTGATTTAGTGGCAAATTTGCATGAATTTTTATGATCTCATTCATACATTTTAGTAAAATTTGTTCTTCCCCCAGTAAGACGTAGGTGTGTATAAAAATCTTTAAAATCTTTGCTCTCATACAAAAATGAATCTGAGTTTGTATGAATTATCAATTTTTCTGACTATACGTAAACTATGTTCCCTCATGAGATTGGGCTGATGCTCTAATAAAGTCAGAAAAACATTTTGATTTCACTTATTGAAAGTACATATTCACAAAGAAATCAGTTTAACAGGGCAAGAAACATTATTTATACCTCTGCTATGAACTAGCCATCACATGGTAAATATCAAAAGCTAAATCAAGCCAAAATAAACAATGGAACCAGCGCAGAAATCCACTCACAAATCATGTTTATTGGATTTGCTACTAGCAAAGTCCCATAAAAGGTTGAGATATTGTCAATATCAAAATTTTAAAATAAGTTTTATTTTTGTTTAAACTAACATAAGATCTGAAAAAGTGTAGACTACTTTTAATAAGCAAACCCTGTGTATGTTATTATTATATAAAGTTAATTTAAACCTTAATTTCCTATGAAACACCTTGTAGATAATTTGCAGAAAGAAAGAAAGAAAGAAAGAAAGAAAGAAAGAAAGAAAGAAAGAGAAAGAAAGAAAGAGAAAGAAAGAAAGAAAGAAAGAAAGAAAGAGAAAGAAAGAAAGAAAGAAAGAAAGAAAGAAAGAAAGAAAGAAAGAAAGAAAGAAAGAAAGAAAGAAAGAAAGAAAGAAAGAAAGAAAGAAAGTGAATCATAATCAAACAGTCAGGCATTTGAGGGTGATCTCAGTATGAACGGCACCTTGGCAGTAGATGACTGAGCTGACCTTTGCGTTAAATCTCCTCTCAGAGCCACGTTCTACCTCAACATCTAACAAGCTTCATCTCTATTTGCTTGGCTTTCAGCTTGCTGTCTGCCCTTTCTCATAAAGAATTAGGCTGTCTCTGTGGAGGAGCACAGCGTTGTGTTGGTTGTGTTGGAAATGGAGCTCAGTGCAGTTCAAAGGTCAAGGTGATTATGAGCAGTCGATGAGTCGGAGAGCACAAGACAGTTGCAGCATATTTTAGCTGCTAATAGTGAAATAAATCCAGATTTCCGCATTCAAAGGTACATTGTGATTAGATGGAGGCTTTTATTTGCTTATATTATTACATAATGAGAGTTAGTCTTATTGATCCTGAAGATCAAATGACCATTTCTTCTTTACTTGCTCCTTCTGCCTAATTCTCTCTGCATATGAAACATTTGCTGTGTACAACATATGCACAAACATTTGGATGTAAATTAAAAAGCCAGTTCGCTGCTATTAGCTCTGATGGTATATGGTT